AAAAAAGAAAATAGCAAAATTTTTAACATGGAAATTGAGTTATTTGTTTCACTTTTCTTATACAATTCATCATTATTGTAATTATAATGACCCACACACACGAAGCGGGGGTTATATTGTTTTTGTACTGTTTATTTCATTCAATTGTTTTTTTTTAATTGATGTATTTTTTTCATTTTTTATTTATTTTTTATATTTGTCAACCACATCATGGAAACGGCAGCACCGATCAGCATGAAAATTGGTAGGAATGTAGATGAGCCCGACCTACACTGCACCAGCCAATGATTTTACCATAGACCCCATATTTGAGGAGGGGCTCCATCTGAAAAGGGGGTGTCATGTTATAACTCAAAAACTACTCAACATAGGAGCTTCTTCTTCTTTTTTTTTTTTTTTAGCTCTGATGAAGGGTTATTCATCGGAACAAACCCAAAACAATAAATCTGTTCTGGTGAGTTCTGGTGAATTGGTGCTTTGCGTACATGTGGGGGTCATATGTGCTGCTGATATGCAGCATCTAGTTTATAAACACATCCGCTTTAAAAAGTCAACTTGTATCATTTTGCAGTTTGTACCTTTTTAGCAATTAAATAATTATCATCTACCTTAATCAAATGTCTGCAACTTTTTTTTCTTTACATCTAATTCATTCCCTTGTGTATTTTTCTGGGTAAAAGGGAGATATGCATATTTCAGTACTTATCCGTTATTTTCATTCCATCAGCGTCTTTTCTTTCATTCTCGCCTTTTCCGTCAGATTTTGCTATAACCACTCTGCTTCTCATCCTCATCCTTCCTGTAATCCATTTCTAACATGTCCTATACTCTGCAAAATGTTTAATCATCTTGCAAATGTCTTTTTAAAATCATATAGCAATACCTTTTTCCCTTTTGCAATCAAGTTGCCTAAAGAAAGATTACAAATGCGAAGTTCTTCCCTTTCATTCGCCTGTTGTTGCTAATCTCTTTCACCTCCTCATGATCCTTGAGGAAATGTTAAATCACTTGTGAAGACTTCTTATTCATCGTTTGGTTCATTCCCTTCTTTTCAGGAGAAGCGTGTCATCTTCTCTTTCAGTCCCATTCATTCTTGACTCCTCTTCATTCTTCATCCTAACCCTTCGCAAAATGTTCAGTCACGTCTCCTTTTTTTCATCCTTACATCCTTTCTGCTCCCAATTACACTTTAAATGCTCAATCATCTGTACACTCCTATTTCTCGTCTCCCCATGTGGTCATTCTTGCTGAAGCTTTTTATTTCTCCACGGCACACTTTCATTTATTTAAATGTTTTCTTGTGAAAAGAACATGGGCCACCTGCTGAATGCAGACTCTTTCTTGCAAACCTTTATCATGACACCAGCAGCCAGTGCTGGCAGGTACTCGGAGACGGAGGGCTTTCAGTGAAAATAGAGACGAATTCATGGAATGGCATTCATAAAGTAAGAAACTTCATGGCTTAACTTTCTTTGAAATTGAAAACTTTATTGACAATGAATTGAAATTTAAAATGGTAAAAAAAAATCTGCTAACTTATTTCATAATTTTTACAGCCGTTTGAAAAAAAATGGTAACAAGTATAAAATCCTTGTAAACGTAAATATCTGTTTGGTAAATTACTTTAAGTAGCAGAAAAGACATAAGCCAGGGATGGGCAACTGGTGGCCCATGGGCCGCAAGTGTCCCGCGGGTGAATTCTGTCTGGGCTGCCAATTATTTTACTTTTTTTTTTCTTATAAAAAGCACTCTATGCAGCTCTTATAAGCTCGACACATGAGTAGCAACAAATGACAGCAATTAAAGGGGCAACATTATGTGTTTCTCAGGCATATATTTAAATACTATACCATAATAAAGTATCTGTCACATTTAGTTGTTATTAAAATGCTGTTTTTATGTTTAAATAGAAAATAAATTTGTCTTCTCATCACTCCCTCTTCTAAACGCCTTGAAATTGGCCTCTGTCTCTTTAAGAACCCCCTTCCGCTTCTGTCCCGTCCATTTCAGTGCACGCGCTATGATGCAGTTTACTTGGCATCTGAAAATACATTTCCTCAAAGGTATTTTGAATCTGAAAAGAGCTTCACTGAGTGAGAAGTAGTGTGGAGCTCAGCAGACAGTTTAAGTTTCACTTTCAGTTTCACACTTTGTTTGCTTTGTTACTGCCGAGAGCCTGCAGGAGTCATGCGCGGGGTGTGTGGGGTGTGGGGTGGGGAGGTGTGCTCCGTGATGAAGACACAGCCCAGAGGAGGAGCTGGTCCCAAAAGGCGGTTCTAGTCCCAACCTGTTGTTTTTGCTCCCCTGCCAGGCTGCCTCAAGACACCACAGGATTTCTCAAACATACATGAATGAGTCAAAGCAAGACTCTGGGCATGTTTTTGATTAGAGTATAACATAACATGATGTAAAACTCAAAAAAGTTGATTTTACATGACATTGCCCCTTCAATGGCTGTCATCGCAACCGGGTTAAAAACCTATACACGGGACGCGATAGCAACGGTAGCATTGTTTCCATTTAGTTTTATTAAACACATTAAAATAACAAAATCAATTCCTTTCTTTTCAGGGCTTTGTAGTCATTCTGCAGAACTCCCTCAAAGAAACAAGAAACTGTTGGCCGATGATTATAATTAAGCTCTCTCTGTCCACAACATGAAAAATAATCCAAGATGAGAATATGGGAAAAATCTGCGCACATCTTCCCACGATGTGCAGATATGTATTCATAGCGCAAGAAGCAGTAATTACAAGGAGCCCTTAGCATATGAAGGCAGAGTCCTGCACAAACGGTCATTCTGCTCACGACATCCCTCCAGCAGGCTTCTATTAGAAGTAGGAGTATGTTGGAKTGGAGATAAGACGGGCACTACAGCACGTCTCAACACAGGGGGAGGAAGGAGGGGGCAGCGAGAGTCACATGAAACAGGCACCAACCGGTGTGTACAACAAGCTCTCCCCTTTCMACAACTATAATTCCAACCCTGCCCCACTCCTATCTCCAGCCCCAGGAAACTCTCAGGGTGCAATTTACTGCGTGCGCTGCGCTGATAATACTGTCTCCAGGGCAGGAAGGAGAGAGTGATGGACTGGGATAGAAAAGAGGAAAAAGACAGAGGGAGATTGAGGGTGGAAGAAAAGAAAAGACAGAAAAGCAAGAGGATGAGGGGAGGGAGAACACGGTGAGGAGGGAGAGATAGAAAAGGAACAGGGATGTAATAGGTGAGGATAAGGACGGGACGACGTGGCGCGAGGATCACCGTGAAAATTACAAATGCAAACCCGAGAACCAATTTGTGTCGGTACAAAATACTTCAGCGTGATTTAACAGGAGCGGAAAAACTCGGCAAACTGAATCAGGACTCGGCTCTACAAAAACCTATCTCCTCCAAGTCAGAGACACTTCAGTTAATAACGTTTCAAACAGCTTTGTTACTGCACGCCTAAAAAACGTAGAATGCTTAAAAAAATGTTAGATTGACTGATTGCAAAAAATGGTTCAGTGCTGTTGTAAACAGAAAACAGCAGCACCTCCTAGAGGTCGTCCGAAGGAACACCATTCAAGGACAACCAGATTCACAAAGAATGAATCTCATTTCAGTTTGTATTGAGCAACATGAAATTAAAACCACGAGGCGTGCTCTATGTTAGCTGGAGTTGRACATAGGAACTCAGAAATTCCACAATCGAGACAAGTGTCTGTGTGTTGCAAAACCTGTGGCCTCACTGGCCTAACATCATCTTGATGTTTTGTGTTTCTGTTTTTCCTTGAATTTGTTTTCCGTAATTAAAATTTAATTTTAAAATACATTTTTTTGCCGTTTTAAATGCTGGGTTTCTTGCTGTAAATGACTTTGCAAGTATGTCTGTCAAACAAAAAAAGGACAATTTTTAAGAGCTAAAAAGAAGTATGGGGGAATATAGGGCATTCCATATAATGTTTCATAACCATTTGACAGCAGGAACATATTTTGGAGTCTAATACTTTTCTGCACAACACTTTAACTCACAGCGCTCTACTAAATGGCTCTGACCAAAACGACAGGCCGGGTCCTCCGGAGGACGCAGACTACCCGATCGAGGTGGGCYGGGTCCTTGGTAGACCGGGAAGACTGGAAAAAAAGAGGCTGTGTATTTGGACGGTCTAGCGTCCCGTCCTTACGTCATGTCGCCTAGCAACTGTGACGACGCTAAACAAGCAAACTTAAATCAAAACTAGAAAAATATCAATATATTAGCATTATTAATATCACAAAAGAATTAAATTAACTTAAAGGTAACATTTGAATAACTAATTGACCCGCTGTAGGTGCATGTTTATTTCGCGTTTTTTATGACAAAAAAATAATATTTAAAAACATGTCTATACAAATGATTACAACCATTAAAAAAATTTTATTTTTATATTGCCATATTTTTATTTAAAATGTATTCTTTTGTCTCGCTTCATCCGCTATTACTAGCATAAAAAAATCTCCGGTCGGGCCGCAATGCATTATGGGATACGCTGGGCCGGGAAGGATCCATCAGACCAGTCCTTCGATTCGGGCCAAAGGAAGGACGTATTTGTCGGACGCATCGAAGGAGTCTCCGGTTTTGGATGGCCTTCGTCGCGGCGCTGTGACGTATGCGGCCGATTAATTCGGCCTTMGGAGGACCCGGCCCACCGTTTTTGGACGCAGCCAATGTGTGCATACCGGTAGTGCTTTTCTATTTTACTGATTATTATATGAATTCTCGTCAGTCATTAAAAGTTACTTGAGTTTTGATGTTTTTTTTTTACAAACATAAGCAAAGGTTTGCACATCATGTATCCTTTTGATGAAGTGGGTGGGCAGAAATATTTGACTGGTAGTGTGTGACGATGCTACAACTGACTGTCCTTGGAAAGCAGTGTATTCAAACCATTACTATTTAACAAGGCATGTGAAATGAAAAGCATCAGAGCTTGAGAAAATAGTAGTTTGACGCAGTGCGCGTGTTTGTGTTTGTACGTACCAACTGTTTGGCCTTCTCAGCTTCCTGGCGAGCATGTTGTCTTTCCCGGCTCATGGCTTTAGTTACCTCCTCCCTCGCCGTCTCTATTTCTCTTTGTGCCATCTTAGCCAGCTCATCCTTTACTATTGTCTGCTGACGTTCAAACCTTGAATGCATAAAATACGAATTCAAAAAATTCAGATGCAGCTTACATTTATTAGTAAGTGACATAATTATTTGCCCTTTCTAAAGCTTTTTGATTGCTCTTCCAAAACGACTTACAATGTTCCCACAAGGGGGCGACGTTGTTCCAATTTAAAACTTTACAAATATCAAAGGTGAACTGGGGGTGCTTTAAATTTTCTCAGATTTAACACCAACATTCAGAATGCTAAAACATTTTCCCTTTTTAAGAGTTAAAGACTGAAACTAATTTTAATTCATTGTTTCATTCACTGGATACAGACTTTTTTTTTTTTACCAAAAAGTTCTGTACATTTCCAACTAAATCCTTTCCAATTAAATCCTAATCTAACAAAACATTATTTTGTTTTGAATATAAATTATTAGCTCTGATAAATTTTAAACAGGCATGATTAGACTAACAATACCTCTCACTTTATTTGATTATTAAAGATGTTTCCGTTTACCACGTTTACCAGATGCAAACCAGCTCGCTCTACAGACCCTTTGACCCACCTTCTCTGTTCGTCCTCGGTGAAGGAGGCAGGCTTGCTGGACTGGCTGCTGGGTCGGGCTTGCTGCTTTGCTTGAGACTCTGAGCTGGTAGAGGCAGCTGATCAAAGTGAGAGATGGTATTAAAAGTTGAATATTTACTAAAGACAAACATTTATCGACTTAGAATTGCTATCAAAACTGCAATAAGCATAACGCTACAAAAAGGTTAATTGTTTTTACATATTAAATAAGATTCAGTTTAATAAGTTCTTTAAACTTTATCATTTTGTGATATTAAATCATGTTTAGTTTATTATTGTAGATACTGAGTAACAGGTGACCTGCAGTTTTGAAATACAGTTGTCCTTACCTTTGTCTTTATGAGGGATTGAAGTTGAAGTAGAGTGTTCTGGAGCAATGTTGGCTACTCCTTTCATCCTCTGAAGAACATCTTCTGACAACTGACAAGGAAATAAAGAGCTACTTAATACATACATGTTAGGGATATCAGCACATTTAGAACCTGGAGCTTAGGGGTAACATTTGGCATACACACTTTGTTATATCCCATTTTCTTGAAACCATCATTTTCTATAGTCCTTTGGAACAAGTGAAGATAACTTTATCTTGAAGACAAATGGTCACTGCAGCTCTGTCTGCTTTTATTTATTTATTTATTTATTTATTTGTGCTTTTAGACCTCTCTGCTGCCTTTGATACTGTGGACCATAACATTTTGTTGTCACGTCTTGAGCAGCTGGTTGGTATCACAGGCACAGTTTTATCATGGCTTAAATCTTATTTGACTAACGGGAGTTTTTCCTGTTCACCTTGATTAATGTTCTTCTTCAGCAGCTCCTCTGACTTGTGGGGTCCCCCAAGGGTCCGTTTTAGGCCCACTTCTTTTTAACCTTTACATGTTGCCTTTGGGGTCCATTTTCAGAAAGTACAAGTATAACATCACTTCTCTCTGCTTTGCTGATGACATCCAGGACTATTTGCCCATTAAGTTTAACAGGGACGCTCCATTGGAACCACTCTTCAGTTGTCTAAATGATATAAAAACATGGCTAAAATTAAACTCTCTGAACCTAAATGAGAGTAAAACTGAAGTAATCAGCTTTGGTAAAGTCAATTCTGATACCATTGGCCCATTATTTTCACCCTGTTAAAAATCTGGGATTTCTCTTTGATGGTGTCTTTAAATTAGATAAACAGATTAATTCCATTGTAAAAAAAATTTTTTTCAAATTAAGACTGATTGCTGGGGTGAAACCATGTCTCCCCATCAAAGACCTTGAAAATGTGATTCATGCTTTTACCACTCGTTTGGATTATTGTAATTCTTTGTATGCTGGCTTGGATAAATCATCTCTGCATCGCCTACAGGCTGTCCACAACGCAGCAGCTCGTCTTTTAACAGGTATTAAAAAGCATGAACACATAACCCCGGTCCTGGGTTCTCTGCATTGGCTTCCTGTTCACCTGAGAATTGATTTTATTGTTGGCTTAAAGTTTTTAAAGGTTTGGCCCCATTATATTTATGTGATCTTCTTAACATCTACACTCCAGTCAGAGCACTTAGGTCTACCAACCAGTTTCTTTTAGATGTTCCTAGATCCAAACTGAAATCTAGAGGTGATCGGGCTTTTGCAATAACTGCTCCATAGCTGTGAAACAGTCTACCTCTTAATATTTGGTCAGCAGAGACTGTTGAGGCTTTTAAATCTTTGCTGAGGACCCATCTTTTTTCTAAGACCGAGTTGGAGGTTCAGTTAGAGCTTTTAAATATATTATATTGTGTTTCTGTATTGTATTTGTAGCTATGATTTTTTTTATACAAGTCTTGACTGAACTGTAGAGCACTTTTGGTCAGTTTTGTTGTTTTAATGTGCTATATAAATACATTTGACATTGACATTTAATGTTTGTATATGTAAGTTTAAGTGAGTGAATGTATGTTTATGTTTTGAGTGTCCAAGGAAACTGTCAAACATAGCTTGATCTAAAACTACAGAGGGCAGTACTATTCATGACTCACTGTTTCTATGACTCACAACATATGTATGTGAAATTCAAACTAAGTAGATTTCTTTGTTTGATTGGGTTTTTTCATTTGACTTTGTTTTCCATTTGTTTTTTTTCTTAGAGATGACTTTCTATCCCAATGACAACTGTACTTACTGGTTTGTTGGACAAAATTAACTAGACCTGGTGATACTTTCAATGTCTATAAGCAATTTGGAAATAATTTTTAAATGTATCTTTTGTGTTTTTAGACCTTTTTGTTTTGCTATGGTTTTCAGTGTATTTCCCTGATCATAGCTGTCACTCACATTGTCGCGCATTTTCATGTTCTTTGACACATCATCTATCATATTTACCACTTCAATAGTTGATCAAAACACAGAATTCCGACATGAACACGTGTCTCCAAATGCAACACAGTCATAGTAGACAACGATACACCCACTTCCATTCAAGATGTTTTTATTTAGAACCTCCTTACACTCTAACATTTGACACATTTAACAAATATTTGGGCCCGCTATATATTTTTTATCATTTTTATTTTGTCCTAGATCTACCGTGCAATGTTTCAATAAGTAGTTTTTTGTATTTTTTTTTATCACCGTGTCTGTGTAAAGTTGCAACCAAAGACTTAGTTGGCAAATAATTACAACGATCTACAGGTACAATGGAATCAGCATGTCAGCCGAATTGACCAAAAGACATCAAATGATTTATGTTTTACCTGAGCGACAGCTACATCTATTATTTTACGAATAACCAATATGTAAGGCTGTAGACAACCTGTTTTGACTGAAGTTTGGCGGAACGAGAAGGTCCACTTGCTGCGGGTGTAAACTAACCTAGCTTATGCAAACTCCTTTATGCTTTTCGCTGTAACAGCTGATGTCTGTGTGTTGCATTTAACGTCACCTAAACTCAGAATACCTGGATATCATTGTTGTGTAGAGCAACAACAGCTAGTTAGCGCTGGGCGGAGGGTTGAAGTAACGCTAGCGTGTGTCAAACGCTAGCTAAATTAGCCTTTACCTTCACCCCACGAAGAATCCTGACTCTGTCCTCGTCGTCGACTCCGAAAGATACTTTCCTAGTTGTACTTTCTCCCGAACCCATCCTGGGCAGATTTTAAGTAATACTTTTTGTGTGGAGAATGACAGCACTACAACGCAAAACTGTTTGTGTCCTGCCCAATGACACAGTGAGTAGCAGATGGGATACGGGTTGCCAGGTGCGTTTGAAATCAACCCTCTTTTACTGATTTGCATTAAAATAAACGATGTGTGAATTCTTAACTAAGAATTAGTACACATGAGTTACAGGTTTAAAGTATTTTTAGAAATACATTCATGAATTTCACATATTCATTTAAGTAAAATAAAATAGTTTGAATCACTTTGCATTTCAGAGGTTTAAGCTAATACTTGGCAACTCCATTGCCTCAACTAAATACTATAGATAAATCTTGAATGAATGAAATGTCAATACATAAGTATGGAAGCCCATTTCCGCCACCCTGATAAAAAATGAATAAAACTTGTATCTCATAATTATGACTTAGCTATCTATGAGATAGCCAAGTCATAATTATGAGATAGTATCTCATAATAATGAGATAGCTAAGTCATAATTATGAGATAGCTAAGTCATAATTATGAGATAGCTAAGTCATAATTATGAGATAGCTAAGTCATAATTATGAGATAGCTAAGTCATAATTATGAGACACAAGTTTTATTTCTTATCAGGGTGGCAGAAATGGGCTTTCATAAATAAGAAGCTTTTCATAGTATGGAAGAAAAACAGTCTCATTAGATTCTGAATATTTTTAGACATTGAATTTTTCTTCCATACATACATACAAACTTACTACATATATGTGCAAACATTACCATTAAAATCTTTATATGTAGAACTTTTTTATTTACTTCAAACACAGCATGTCACAAGTTCAAGCTAACTGTCAGTGTTCACGTGGGTAATACTGCATACACCCCCCACCCCACCCCACCCCACCTCACACACACACACACACACACACACACACACACACACACACACACACACACACACACACACACACACACACACACACACACACACACACACACACAAAAATGGAATGTGTTAGCACATTTTATTAGACAACAAAATTGTGCAACATTTATTGTACAGAGCATCCAATATATAGTATAACAAAAACACCCAAATTACAATGAAGAAATTACTTTTTTGTTAAATATACAAATCCCAAAAAATGATCACAATTACACAACTACATCCACTAAATAAACGACTATGTATTTATTGTCTGAAAAACTCTATCCATCATCTTTCCCAAAATATATAAGTATGCGTGCTTAGGTTCTAAGAAGGTACATGCATGACATCTAATTTTCCGGATATTAAAAAAATGTGCATGAAAATCTTTACATAAAAGTAAAATTTTAAAATACATTTTTTATTTATTATTATATTTTTTTCACATGAAGAAATTTAGACAAGCAAACGTAAATGCAAGAGTACAAAGGAAAATGTACATAAAGGCACCTAATGAGTTTTTTTGGCCTCACATTCCACTCTGTAGTGTGATCCAAGACTCGGGAGTGTTTGAATGTATACTGAATGCTGGGTAAACTGGCTCTTTGAACACAGCTCGGAAGGTGTAGAGGAGCTCCCTGCGCCCTTTGATGCTGTTGAAGGTTAATGCTCCTCCCTCGTAGTCGAGAACAATCTCAATCTTGGTTGGAGGAATTACCATTTCGGACAAGGCGATGTTACTGGAGGCCGTGCACACAGTCAGCTTCCCGTTCTTCCTCTGCAGTCTCCAGGACATTGTGTTGTGCCCCAGGCGGCTGTGGTCCCCCCGGCGAGGGATGCTCTTGTAGCACACCCCAAGGGACCACATGCAATTGGCCCCCACTTCTACCACCCACACGTGCGTGCCGCCCGAAAAGCTCTGGCTGCAGAGAATCTGAGATGCGCTGGTGAAACGGTCAGGATGATCCACGTAGGACTGTTTTGTGGGGCTGTACCGGACCGTGCGCAGGTCAGTGGACACCACCAAACTGGGGTGGACGGTGCAGATGTTGAAGGTAAGCTCCATGGGGTCCAGGAGGACATGAAGGCTGTCCAGGAGGCGGACCATTTCCGTTCGGAAGTCTTGGGTTTTGAGCTCTGCCTGGAGACGTTTGGTGTTGAGTGGAGCCTTTGAGGGGATCGTAGTGGAAATACTCCCTGTGACATTATCTCTCAGTTTCTGATCAATCATGATAAATCTAGAAAAGACAAAAAAAATTATATAGCATGCCTTTTCGAAGATTAGTTTGAACTCATCACTTCATGCTGTATTGTATACAGCGGGTAAAATAAGTATTGAACACGTCACCATTTTTCTCAGTAAATATATTACTAGAGGTGCTAATGACATGAAATTTTCACCAGATGTTGGTAACAACCCAAGTGATCCATACATACAAAGAAATCAAACCATAAATGACCAGAAATGAAGTTATTTGTAATAATGTGGAATGGCACAGGGAAAAGTATTGAACACACTTACTGAAATTTATCTAATACTTTGTACAAAAGCCTTTGTTGTCAATGACAGCTTCAAGACGCCTCCTGTATGGAGAAACTAGTGGCATGCATTGCTCAGGTGTGATTTTGGCCCATTCTTCCACACAAACAGTCTTCAAATCTTGAAGGTTTCGTGGACCTCTTCTATGAACTCTGATCTTTAGTTCTTTCCATAGATTTTCTGTTGGATTCAGGTCAGGTGAYTGGCTGGGCCATTCCAGCAGCTTTAGTTTCTTTCTCTGAAACCAACTGAGAGTTTCCTTGGCTTTGTGTTTGGGCTCATTGTCTTGCTGAAATGTCCAGCCACGTTTCATCTTCATCATCCTGGTAGATGGAAGCAGATTTTTATCAAGAATGTCTGTGTACATTTTTCCATTCATCCTTCCTTCAATTATTTGAAGTTTGCCAGTACCATATGCTGAAAAACAGCCCCACACCATGATGTTCCCACCTCCAAACTTCACTGTTGGTATGGTGTTTTTGGGCTGATGTGCAGTGCCATTTGACCTCCAAACATGATGTGTATTCTGGCATCCAAACAGTTCARTGTTGGTCTCATCTGACCAGACTATATTCTCCCAGTATTACACAGGCTTGTTTAAATGTTGTGCAGCAAACTTTAAAGGAGCTTCAACATGCTGTTTCTTCAGCAGTGGAGTCTTKYGTGGTSAGYGTGMATACAGGCCATGGTGGTTCAGTGCATTACTTATTGTTTTCTTTGAAACAATCGTACCTGCTAATTCCAGGTCTTTCTGAAGCTCTCCACAAGTGGTCCTTGGCTCTTGGACAACTCTTCTGATAATTCTTTTCACTCCTCTGTCAGAAATCTTGTGAGGAGCACCTGGTCGTGGTCGGTTTATGGTGAAATAATGCTCCTTCCACTTCTGAATTATGGCCCCAACAGTGCTCACTGGAACCTTCAGAAGTTTAGACATTCTTCTGTAACCGATGCCATCATTATGCTTTGCAACAATAAGGTTGTGAAGGTCTTGAGAGAGCTCTTTACTTTTACCCATCATCAGATGGTTCTTGTGTGATACCTGGCCATCATTTGGGACTGAACCAGCTGATATTAACTTGCACTGACAAGGGGCAGGCTTGCTTTCTAATTACTGAGAGAGTTCAGCTGGTGTCTTGGCTTTCCATGCCTTTTTACACCTCCCTTTCTTCATGTGTTCAATACTTTTTCYCTGTGCCATTCCACATTATTACAAATAACTTCATTTCTGGACATTTATGGTTTGATTTCTTTGTATGTATGGATCACTTGGGTTGTTACCGACATCTGGTGAAAATTTCATGTCATTAGCACCTCTAGTAATATATTTACAGAGAAAAATGGTGACATGTTCAATACTTATTTTACCTGCTGTATTGACACACTGTATTATTGTAAATAGTAAAAAACAGGATGTTTGTGTGTACCTGTGTATAAAAACACATGTGTCGGTCTCAGTGAGGGTCTGTGCAGCACTCTTCTGTGCCTCAAGCAGCTGCTGCTGTTGCTCTTCCAGTGCACTCACTCCCATCTGAAAGCTTTTTCGACGCTGCCCTCGCTCCTCTTCCAGCAGCGTGCACAGCCGCTCCCTGTACCTGAACAAAACACGTCAACACGAGGGGGAATCACAATCTCATTCTAGTTATCCATCTATTATGGGCCCACAGCTAGAATTCTATGTGTAAAACACGGACAATTTACAGATAAATAAATGTTTTGTTTGCTGTTTTTAACAGAGTATTAAAGCGTCAATGAGTAGTCCCGATAAACCGGATCTAATTTTTATTCTTATTATCTAAGTTTTTTTCAAAAAGTGCCCCGTTTGGTCATGCATTTTAAAATTTCATCCTGTTGAGCCAGTTCTTCAAGCATTTCTCAGAAACTACACAGTGAGCACACTTAGTGAATTGGACAAGTGTGCACAAATGAGATTGGGCACTTAAAAACACGTACATCTATTCAAAACATGAATGAAATGAATTAAATTTTGGGAACAAGTCAAATTTGCATTTTATGTAACTGACTCATATAGAAAGATAATGGAAAGTCAAAACATTTTTGGAGGAGGCGTTTAGCTGTAACCACAAGTCAAACCTGCTCAAGAACATAGCTGGTTTCATTTTTTTTCTATCTACGTATACAGTATGTATGCACTGCATTTTGACACTTTTGATTTCTATCCCTGCTTTTAAACACAGACATTTTTTAAAAGACCTTTTTAAGGAGTCATGTAACTATTTTAAAAAATGAATGCATCTCCCTATCGTCCCATTTTAAAGGGGCAATATTATGTGTTTCTCAGGCATATATTTAAAAACTATACCATAATAAAGTATCTACGTCACCTTTAGTTGTTATTAAAATGCTGTTTTATGTTTAAATAGAAAATAAACTTGTCTTCCCATCAATTCCTTTTCTAAATGCCTTGAAATTGGCCTCTGTCTCTTTAAGAATCACCTTCTGCTTCTGTCTTGCCCATTTCGGTGGGGGGAAAGGGGGGCTGCTATGATGCAGTTTACTTGGCATCTGAAAATACATTTCTGCAAAGGTATTTTTAATCTTAAAAGAGCWTCATTGAGTGAGAAGTAGTGTTGAGAGCTCTGCAGACAGTTAAGTTTCACTTTCACCCCGAGAGCCTGCAGGAGTCATGGGCGGGGGGTGTGTGTGTGTGTGTGGGGGGGGTGCTCTGCCATGAGGAAGTTTGACTTAAAGACATTTCTGGGCGTTTCTGGTCCCCACCTGTTGTTTTGCTCCTCAGCATGACTTCCTAAAAATGCTGCAGGATTTCTCAAACATGCATGAATGAGTCAAAGCAAGACTTTGGGCATGTTTTTAATGAGAGTATGACATTATAACATGATATAAAACTCAAAAAAGTTGATTTTACATGATATTGCCCCTTTAAGTGTTTTAGCACTTTCAGGCCAACATTGTAAATAAGAAATTGTCCTCAATGTTTCGCCTGGTGAAAAGGTTATGCAATAAAACTGCGTGTCACGATCCAGTAACTTGCTGAATTTCTGCCCTCAGACATCCTGATGGAAACACCAGCAGGCGTTCATCTGCTCACCTCTCCACCATCCCAGCCATGCTGTCCATGAGGGTGACGGCCTTGCTGACCATTCTGTCTCCWGTGGCCTCAGAGGCTCCCTGATCCTCCATGGTCCTGTTCAGCAGGCTCTCGGTCATCTGCAGTCTGCTGGAAATTATCTGCAAACACCAATTGTCAGAMATATTTTGTGTTCAACAAAATGTTCGGAGAATCTGGATTAAGTTGGTGTCTTTTTTTTAAATGAACCAAACACGAGGGAAACAGTCAAACGTGTCTTTTAATTTCCTCCTATTAAATTTTAGAGACAAAGAGATTAAAACTTAGCCCTTTTCTTGGAAAGATGTAAGTAAGTACGATCTAAGTATTTGATTTCAGTCTTGACACAGTTAGATGTTATCAGGCTTTTCTCATCTATCTGCATTTTGTATTGTTTTCATTCCAAGCAACTTATTTTTCATAAAACAGCATAAAAAGTCAAACCACTCAGCCATTAAATCAAAATCAAATGTATTTTTCACTTTTCTTGTTACTCACAGAAATAATATTCCAGTTACTCATCATTTTAGGTTCTAATTTTAATTTAATTTGCTGGATTGAAAAGCCAGAGCAATTAGTCCCTTGTAAAGTAAAAATGTTTTGCTACAGTCCATAAAAGACAGACCTCCACAACAAGGGCATCAACATCAAATTATTTAGCTTTTCATTTTTATTTGTTTCTAATGTTAAAGGTTATGCTTTGTAGCTGATCAAATTTCACGTTTTTCTTAAAGGGCAAATATTATGTGTTTCTCAGGCATATATTTAAATACTATACTAATAAATAATAAAGTATCTATGTCACCTTTAGCTGTTATTAAAATGCTGTTTTATGTTTAAATAGAAAATAAACTTATCTTCTCATCACTTCCTCTTCTAAACGCCTTGAAATTGGCCTCTGTCTCTTTAAGAACCACCTTCTGCTTCTGTTCTGTCCAGTTCGGTGTGGGGGTGTCCACACGCCGGGGACTCGTGCGCCGGGGGTGGGGGGTGCCTGTGCGCTATGATGCAGTTTACTTGGCATCTGAAAATACATTTCCTCAAAGGTATTTTGAATCTGTAAAGAGCTTCACTGAGTGAGAGGTGGTGTTGAGAGCAGCAGTCATTTTAAGTTTCACTTTCACTTTGCTTTGTTACTGCCGAGAGCCTGCAGGAGTCACGAGCGAGCCGGGGGATGTGTGTGTGTGTGTGTGGGGGGGGTGCTCTGCCATGAGGAAGTTTGACTTAAAGACATTTCTGGGCGTTTCTGGTCCCCACCTGTTGTTTTGCTCCTCAGCATGACTTCCTAAAAATGCTGCAGGATTTCTCAAACATGCATGAATGAGTCAAAGCAAGACTTTGGGCATGTTTTTAATGAGAGTATGACATTATAACATGATATAAAACTCAAAAAAGTTGATTTTACGATATTGCCCCTTTAAAGGGGCAATACGTGTGTCTTTAAGCCAAGCTTCCTCATGGCGGAGCGCCCTCCCCCCCATCCCCACATGCCCCACCCATGACTCCCGCAGGCTCTCGGGTGAAAGTGAAACCTAACTGTCTGCTGAGCTCTCAACATTAGTTCTCACTCAGTGAAGCTCTTTTCAGATTAAAAATACATTTGAGAAAATGTATTTTCAGATGCCAAGTAAACTGTATCATGGCAGCGCCCATCCCCCGCCCCCCGGCGAGACAGAAGCGGAAGGGGGTTCTTAAAGGGACAGAGGCCAATTTCAAGGCGTTTAGAAGAGGAAGTGATGAGAAGATAAGTTTATTTTCTATTTAAACATAAAAACAGCATTTTAATAACAGCTAAAGGTGACATAGATACTTTATTATGGTATAGTATTTAAATATATGCCTGAGAAACACTTAATATTGCCCCTTTAAAAAACTTAATTTAAAACGTTGCTTCCTAGTAGAAAATGATTTTGCTTMGTGCTGTTTGGTAATTTGATTTATAATGATGTTTGGCGGTACCTTGCTGCGACTCTCCAGTGCTCTTCTCATCTCGTCCTCGGCCGCGCTGAAGGTGAGAACATCGTGGTCCTGGTGATGGCCCTCCACGAAGCACGTGGAGCACAGGGTGGTCACGTCATTGGAACAAAAGTACTCCAGGGGAAGGTGGTGTTTGGAACAGCTCCTCGTCCCCAGCAGCTCAGTCTGGGGCTCCATCAAAGAGTGGCCCTTGAAGGACTCCTTCTCGTTGTGCTTCTGCAGATGCCTGGAGCACAGACGGACCTCACACTTCAGGCAGGTCTTCACCGCCGGCAGTGGGGCGTCAATGCAGTGGTCGCAGAAAACCGTCGTTTTCTTGGACCCGGTTTCGGGCTCGATCACAATCTCCTCATATATTTGGGTTGTAGAAGCTCGATAACCGTCAACGATGTTGGAAAGTTTGAAGTTTTTCTGCAAGATGGCCAGACCCTCGTACTCTTCGCGACACTCCGGGCATCGAGGAGGTGTTTTACCGGTGTTCTCGGTGGACTGAGCGGTTTTGACGATACAAGCTCGGCAATAGTTGTGCCCGCAAGGAAGAACCACCGGATCACAGAAGAGCTGAAGGCAGATGGGACAGCTCAGCTCCTGGGCAAGTTGCTCCTCTGGTTTTGACATAAACATGATGAAAGTCTTTTTTGTGTTTTTGCTATGTATTGCTCCTCTCTTGTAACGCTCCTTGACAAAATCTATGACACTCACTTGACTTCTTGACTCGGATCTTTACCTCCCATCTGCAGGTGCTTCTTCATTRACAGGCAGGTGAAGTATAATGTGCAAAGTCAACAAGGAAGTCTGCTGTCTTAACGTATCAGAATAACAGYAGGTGGTTCCATACTTGTTTGCAGGGCAGCATTCCTTTCCAAGAGGCCCGTTTGTGTTTACTGCCACGAAGTCACACCTGTATGAGGGTCTCTGTTGATGGTAAAATATGTGACAGAAATCCATGAACTTCAAAAAAAAAAAAATAATTTAACTGAGTGACAGGAACTTTTTGTTCAGGAAACCATTTTGAATTTAACAAATTAATTATTTATAATACAAGCAAATAACCATGCAATTAACATACTATCAAAAAATGTTAAATAAGCAAAAAACGACATTTTGTTTAGGTAATGCAGTGTTTTGGTTCATTATAAAAAGAGTGTGTTGCTGCCTGTCAGCACTTGCAGAGTATGTGGGAGGTTGATGGGTACACAACAGTAAATTAGAATGCTCTGCGTTGCCCTGTTGTCTGTAAACACTGCTAATGGTGGAAATGCTCCTAGGTTTAACTTCGATTTGATGTGGAAGCAAACATGGATGTAAAATAGAACAGAAAACACTGTTCTATTTTAAAAAAATAATTACTGGTAGAGTCAGTTCTAACGTGTCACTGCTCACAGATCCAGACAGTAAGATGAAGGTCAAATTGGTTTCTTGATCCATTACATAACATCGCTTTATGTTCGTCAGAGACTGGCTCATAGGGCTGCCACAAACAATTATTTTAATAATCGATTAGTCGTCGATTAATCGATTAATCGTGGCAGCCCTACTGGCTCATCCTGCAAGTCAAGCTGTTAAGATTTCCTTTTGGTTAAGTTCTGTTATAAAACATAGGAAAAAAATGAGGTGGATTAAATTTCTTTTATAAATAAATTAGTTTAAACCTTTTTAAGAGACTGAAAAAAATCATTGATCTTACTCAACATATGGTGTGTAAATATATATATGTAGCAGAGTGTACTTCATCTTATCTTTCTGGTCTTGTTTTTTTCAGTTCCAGTAATGGTTTTTTGTCTTTTGCTTTGTTGAAAACTGGATCCACCTGGTTTGATTTGTGCCTCTTTGAGCCTGGTGTCAGTGTCCCGGCCTTTTGTTGTCCTTCGTGTTTCYCGACCAGATGAAAGTGATTAAAGACAGGTGTGTCCACTTTCACTCTGAGTGCTCTTCTGTACTGATCGTATTGCTCTTCTTGCTTTAAATGCCTATGAGTGCTGCAGTCTTTCACACTTCCTTCATTAAATGTGCTTTTTGTCTGGGATTATATGATTTATATTTGTCCTCTTAAAATCAGTTTTTTTGTCTTATCTTCTAAACTCGTCTTTCTGTAGATCTGAGGCAGCATATTGGAGTTGTTAAGAYATTTTTTCATCTAAAATAAAAATATAAATCTAAAGTTTAAAACTACGAATGAAACCCGTAACACCTTTCATCCAACGACCACCAGAGATCCATCCACTAGAGGTCCCCAGTGTCTGTTTTCAACTTTTCACTCATCCTGGCTCTTTGTTTCAAATTGTACAACTTTACRTATCTAGTTTATTGACCTTTATAAGTAAATAAATCGTTCAGATGTTTTAATTTTGCTTTCTTTTTGTGTGTCAAGTGTATTTGGCTTAAGTGGATGCATCGTTAGGCTGACTAGATTTGTTCTTAAATTCTTCTCTTTTCCTTTTTTAAATTCATTTCCACCCAATTTGTGTGTGTGTGTGTGTGTGTGTGTGTGTGTGTGTGTGTGTGTGTGTGTGTGTGTGTGTGTGTGTGTGTGTGTTGTGTTTATCTGGGTCCATTTTTTTCTAAACTCTTGTAACATTTCACACCATGTATGGTGCTCAAATACCAGAAGCAAAATCTTTGCAAATGTTCATTTTGTTTTGTTCCTTTCGCTTTCCTTTTTGAGGCGAAGCAAAACCCTTAATGTGCTGATTATTCTGAGACACGACAGTCAGTTCCTTTGCAGAACCAGATTATCAACATTCTCACTGTTCCTGCAAAAAAATGCTTTCGACAAGAGTAGTAAAACTCTGTCACCTCGTCTTCACCTCAGACACAGGTTAGTCAGGGATATAGAAAAGTYAGGAAAGTGAAAATGTACTGACAGGTATTACCTAAGCTGATTCTCAACGATTTAAATGAAGGGTTTTATTTTAATTCAGAGTGATTGTTTATGCAGTTCTTACACACAATAACAATRCAAACTTTCTGTAATGTTTAATATTCTTAAGCTAAATGATGGCCTGAAATAGATGTAAAAATCTAAATGGATTTAAATGAACAAATGATTCATCAATAATCCAGGGTTCTGCTTTAGTTGTGGCTTTTTTATATATAATTTCCAGGTATTGAAGTTATTCGAAATGATTAACCATACAGATTTAAAAGGTTCAGAACTGAGATTTTATTTCTACATTTTAAACATCGAAGCCATATTTGAGAACTAATCAGGAGAAAAGTTTGGTTTCGAAACTATTCAGACGTTGTTGTTTTCGTCTGACAGACGTCTCACGTTTCAGGAACAAACTAACAATAGTCTCCTCTCTTGGGGAGCTGCTGGGCCTGAGACTTACGTTCAGATGTAGCTCGGTGGGTGAGTTGCAAAATCCACCACAGTCCTCATGATTTTYAGCTCTGTCTCTTGATTAAACCTCAGTGCTGCACAGCTGATTGAAATGCTAGCTCTTTGCTTTCGCTAAATCTGTCTTTGGAAACTATAGCCAAGTAATCACTAGTAACACACACACCTACTGTCTCTCTATCCTTGTGGGGACTTTCCATTGACTTCCATTCATTTTTTTTGGAAATTGTATATCCTAACCCAGACCATTTATCCTAAAATTAGCCTCACAGGTACCTACATGACCCTAAATCTAACCTGAACTCTATTCACACCTGGGTTCTAAACCCAACACCCAACCCAAAATCAGCCTCAAAGTTGTGGGGACCGGGTTTTGATACCCACAAGGGGCATCCGGTCCCCACAAGGCTGCATTTTCCTGAAAAATCGTCCCCTCCAAGTGTCAAAAACAAGGGCGCACACATACACACACATCCTTGTATTGGCATCAAACTGAGGACTTTGTATTGACTTCCATTCTTTTTTGTAACTGTATTCATGCCAACACAGACATTTCCCCTAAAATTAACCATTACTGGTCTATAGCTAACCCTAACCTGAACCAGAACTTAATTCACACCATACCTCTGAGCCTAACTAGGAAAGTACAGTAGACTTTCAATTGGGGACTTTCCATTGACTTCCATTCGTTTTTTTTTTTGTTTTGTTTTGTTTTGTTTTCGAAATTTTATATCCTAACCCTGACCGTTCACCCTAAAATTAACCTCACTAACCTAAACTCAATTCAAACCTTGGTCCTAAACCTAACACCCCCACCCCCCTACCCCCATCCAAAATCAGATTCTGAAGTTGTGGGGACCGTGTTTTGGTCCCCACAAGGAGCATCCGGTCTCCACGAGGCTGCATTTTCCTGAAAAATTGCACCAAGTAGCAAAAACAAGGGCACGCGTGCGCGCACGCACACACACACACACACACACACACACACACACGCACGCACGCACGCACGCACACACACACACTGTCTGTGTTGGTTCACCAGCAGGAATACCCTGTTTTCATTCTAGCTGTCTTTTTAAACACAATAAAAAGACATGTTCAACTGTGGTTGACTTTACCTTTGATTGTTTTAAAATGTTTACAGTATAAGCCATCAGCAAAATATTACCCATGTTTTAAATCTTTATTTCTTTTTTTGTTAAAAATCAGTAAATTTAAACCTTTAAAGACCTGAAAGATCCGCTACATGGGTGGAAAAAAGTAAATTTAGCCAATTTTTCTCAATCGCTTTTTGTCTTTTTTAAGGAGCTATTTGAAATGCCAACCGATGATGGTTGAAGACTAAGCACTCAGCAAGGGGTGAGTGGGGGGGTGGGGGGCAGTGCTTTCCTTTGAAGGAAATCTGGAACCTATAAACTTGGGGTAACTTCTGAGATGAGAAACGTACGTCACAACGGTTAGATCTGGTTGGCTGCGCGGCAGAATCTGTCCCCACCTCGCCGCTTCGGTCGGGCCAATCGTTCAGAATCCATTCTTCTCGCTTTCTTCAGCTCAGCTGTCTTAAAGTGCCTTTCAAGCCAATCAGTGAACCAGGTGGGAGGGCGGCTTGAAGCCTCACAGATGCCTCCCCTTTAAAAATTCACTCAATTGGCTCTTGTTTCACACGCTGCCASGGGAACAGAACAGGAGAAAAGTCATGTTGTACGCTCATAAAAGCTGGGAAAGATCACTAACAGCCACCCAAAGTGGATAAAAATTCCATCACTCAGTGCTGACTCTTTTTCTYAACAAAGGGAGAAGATGGAAGAAATCCAATAAGGCAAACAAATATCAGAGGACTCCTGGAGAAGAACAAAACTGGGAGAAAGTCCATGAGCTCAAAGCAGAGGCAACGTGAAAAGAGACATCAAAGGACACAAAGGACAGGGACGCAAGTTTGTTAACAGCGAAGGAAAGCGTGGCCAAGCATGAGAGAGGAGGAGCTGCGTGATGAAGGAAGAGTGCTTTCCAGCAAAGACAACATGGGTAAACCTCCATCCAATGCTTGCCCTGTTGTTGTAGCAACGCCAGGTATCACCAAGCGTAAGCGCCCAACAGGCTTGGAGGACCACCTCACCACCGTCACGCTTACGTCCACATCAGACAATGCAAAAGTCCAGCCAGAGGATGATATTCAGATTTACACACAAACTGGACCCAAAAAGCTCAAAAGGAGCCCCCAGCACGGACCRCCGTGCTCCGGTCTGTCCCTTTCTCCCGTTCCCGGTCAAAGTCCCGTAGGAGTCCCGGCTCTGGAGGATCCACATGCACAACGGGCCATCGCCAACGTCCGCGAGCGCCAGAGGACTCAGTCCCTGAATGAAGCTTTCGCTTCGCTTCGCAAGATTATCCCGACACTTCCATCAGACAAACTGAGCAAGATCCAGACCCTTAAACTGGCGTCTCGATACATTGACTTTCTCTACCAGGTGCTGCAGAGCAACGAGATGGACAGTAAACTCGCAGGGTGTAACTTTCTGGCCCATGAGAGACTGAGTTATGCCTTCTCTGTGTGGAGGATGGAAGGGGCCTGGTCAGCCATGTCTGCTGGTCACTAGCAGGGTCTGAAGGTTCCAACAACTCTGACAGGGAAACAAACTGAACTGAAGCCTTTAAAAGGGTTTGTTGTTGGTGATGCTTTGTCAATATACAAGTCAGATGTATCTCTGGATTCTTGTTGTTCCACTGTTTTTACTTTGTCAAAAGTTGATTATAAATGGTCATTGTGGAAATTTACATTAAAAAGGAGCGAAACTTCAAAGTATCACAGCTAGATGATTAATGTTTTTATGTTCATTCTGTTTACACTCATCTTGAAAAAGGTYGGAAAAATGAAAGATCATAAACTTGATGTTTAAAAACTCCTTCTTTGATGCCTTGCCTCCAAATGACAGAACTAATTCTTCTGGACCCTCCATTTTTTCCTCCCAGGTTCTGGACAGCTTTCTTCTATCGTCACATGATTTCATCAGCATCGTCCTCATTAAAGTTATGCAAACAACGAGCCAATTGTAAACTTTGTATTAAATATTTCTACTTTGCTTTATTTCTACTTTTTATTTGTAACTATAAATGACTACAAGTTTCAATTTCAAAGAAAGATTTAAAAGAAATGCAGAATACTTTTTAAAAATGAGAATATATCTTTAGTTTGAAACATTTCATTTCCTAAAAGCTCGGATAATTCATGAATCCAGCCAACGGTGGAAAATAGCTGTGTGGAGTTGCTCCCTCATACACAAATCAAGTTTTTTTTAAGTTAAAAAAAGAAAAAAAATCTTTTGAAATGGTCAAAATTTGCTTGCACTGCACAAAGTTGGGCTGCAGCTCGCTGACGAGGAGGCGTAATGAAAACAAACTGTCTGTAAAAAGCCATAAATCACGTGTGTCATCATCAAAGGGGAGACTGATGTGGCTCCCCGCTGGGCTCTCACGTACCGCTGGGAGTGATGGAGAAGGTGAGAGCTGAGTTATGCTCGCAAAGGCAGACCTAAAGCTGTAGCTTTATGTTTGCAGACAGTCCAAATGGAAGTCACTAAATTTAGTTTTTCCTTGTGTTGGAATTGCAAACTTCACTAAAACAGTTGTTAAAATAATTTCCGAAAATAAACTTTACCTGCATTTTTTTCAGAGACAGAGTGGTGAGGAGTCTGTTTTTTTTAAAAGATCCATGTTAAATAGTTTATTCCTGCTTTGCCAATATAAACAAATACCAGCACCCTGTTATTAAAATGTCACAGGGAGGTCTTTAATGTTTCCAGCTCTTGTAAATTTTTACTGAACCTCACCATCTGAGCTGACACTTGACATTTAAAAATAACTGTTTTCATCCAAGTTAGGAATAGCAGCTTAAGTGCAGCTGATTTTGCAAAAAGACTGCCAAGGTGTGAT